ATATGTTTCTGGTATTAGAAATATGCTTTAACTAAAGTGAGCAAATACTCAACAACTCAAAAGAATGCTGCATGCAGCAAATGGAATGTAAAGTTTTCTTCAGTAAAACACACTTTTAACTTTACCTTTAGAGTAGCAATTGCATTTTCTAAATTCCATCCATGCAAACCTATGGCTTTTATCTCCTTTCTCTATGGATACAAGTAGCACCAACTATGGATTTTTCCACTACTCTCAAAGAATTACTTTTATTCTGTACAACATACAGTGTTGGTTGTAGACCAAGATGAGGGAGCAAATAAAACAAAAAAAATACAGGCAGGATCTATGGTCTCATTTAAGAAAAGGTAAATGCAATCATATATTTAATATCTCTGAACCAATGCAGATATGTTACCCTGTGTAACTGATAATTGCACAGCACCTCTTGGCCATGCAAGGAAAAAAGGCAATAAAGGCACTGTGAATGCTTAGAAGGAATTCAGGCAGGAATAATGCTGTGATTCACTTTTTAGTATTTATGAGAGGATCAATATCTACATCAATGAACTGAAACTCTGAAGAGTAACTTCCTCATGCCACAACCCATATTTGTTATTTTATTTTTGCTCATCCAGTCACCTCAAAATACTTGGAGACTCTAATGAAAAATGTCCTTTTATGGCAGACCTCTGGAGAAACTGCATAAGTACCTTGCTGTTTGCGTGGATCATAAATCTGGAGCCCGAACAAGGGTGGCCTCTCACTTCTTAACAGTGCCAGATCCAACTGGAAAATTGACCCATTCATGTAATCTGTCCAGTATATATAATTTCCATGATGTGACAGTCCAAAAGGATGATTCAAATCTTTTCCATTGTAGACTACCTGCAATTAATTAGTGGTAGGTGAGCATCAGCAAGGCTAAAAGAATCTTTAATTTTTCAGAGAAATTAAAACAGGAAATAGGAATACTGGGATAATTACTGTCCCAAACATAACAACCTATTCCAGTAAAATTAAATAAAGAGTACAAAGCCCTTCTGTGCAGCAGAATCAATATCTAACTTAAAAAAAGATTCCAAAAAACAACTACATATAAATTCACTTTAAGTGGCCCCCATCAGAGAACACAGGAACAGCCAGCCCAGGGAAGTGGTGCAGTCTCTAACCCTGGGAGGATTTGAAAGATGTAAAGTGAGGTTTAGGGTCATGGTTAGCGGTGAACTTGGCAGTGCTGGGTTAATTGTTGGACTGGAAGATTTTAAGGCCTTTCCCAACATAACCAATTCTATGGCTCTGTGATTCCATCCCAGCAGATTCCATTTGGAGTCATTGCTCTCCTTCTGGCTGGGATCCTTGCTTGAACCAAGAGCCTTGTTCCTGCCGTGCTTCCAGAGAGGAGGAAGCAGCTCCTCATGTGCCCTACCTTGTCTATTTCTAGACACAAACACAAGAGAACGTGGAGGTAAAAATAACTAAAATACTTCTTTGAGGTGATTGACAACCACCATCTCCTTTTGCCCTTCAAATTTTCTCTTTGGACCTGGAATTCTTATATGCAAAGCTCCTCATCTCTGAACTGCTTTTGATCCAAATTCATCAATCAGTCAATTTTCTGACAGCTATTGGTGGAATTAAGGACGTCCCTATCCCCCAGAATCTTTATTGTATTAAAGAATTATAGATGTGACTGATCCAGCTAAATTTCAACCAAAATATCCTATAGTTAAATACAAATGATTAAGGATTGAAAGAAAACATCTTATAGTTATTTTCAGCTACATAAATTCAAGTAGTTATACATTTTTTGTTATATCTCAGGATTACAGAAAAATCACTTTTGAAAAAAACAAAAAAAAATATATTCTGTGACACACTTCAAAATAAAACCTGTAAAGACAGGTACTTCTTACTGTGCACCAGTCACTAATTTTATGAAGCAGGTGATAAAACTTGCCCAAACATGAGCCTTAACCATTTTCAAAATGTCTTATTCTGTGCTTGTTGCTTCTACAAACCCACACAGAATGTCTGCACAGAGCTGTATCCAGCTGCTACAGGCATTAGTAACAACTAAAGCAATCTCTCTCCATCTTTGACAGGATTTCTTGAGTGCTGCCTCTCTGAATATTACCACAAATACTCAAAAGAGGCAGAGGGATTCAGAAAAACCAGCTCATCCAGCAAAGTACCAGGAAAAGCCTCTTTCTGGAAAAGCCAAAAAAACAGGTTTTTCTACTGAAAAGTTCTTTGCAGCTTTGTGACTCAATCAAAATATGACTCCTTTCTACATGAAAAAAAAAATAAATTAAAAAATAAATAAATGAAAATCAGGTTTTGTGTTCACTTAGGACAGAGGAACATCCTGAGCTGTGTTTCAGTCTCTCACTTGAGACTGCCCCCATGGTTCCAGCAGAGATGACGCCGAACATGCCGCGGGGTTCTGCAGACTTTAAAAACCTTGGGAAGTATTTTTAACGTAACACAATAAAATCCAGAGACAGAACATGCCTGTGGCAAACCAGCAGCATTTCTCTTTTACCTTTCTGTCAGTCCCATTCAAATAGATCCTTTCAATGTGATCATAGTAGGCATCACACCAGTACAGCACATTGGCTCGGTAGTCCAGAGTTAAACCATTTGGCCAGAGCATCTTTGATGTGACAAAAACCTGCCGGCTGGAGCCATCCATCCAGGCCTTCTCAATCCTCCCCACGCTGGCATCTATTTCATCTTCCTCCCAGTCTGTCCAATACATCCATCTAGGGAATTACAAAAATGAGCATTCAGATCCCATTTTAATCAGGTGAATTATACCGCAGGCTTTTAGCGGCAGCTCGTCCAAGCCAGAGCAATTTTGACTTTTGCATGTTTCTTTCCATTGCTGTTTCTACAACTCTGTTTACTGTCCCTGACCACTGGATGCTGCTGAAGTGACACTTATGTAATTTTGCTCATATTGTGACAAATTACATGAATACCAGAGAACCAATAGAGAAGAAAAGTGAAAGAATTAACACCTTATTTATTCCCAGCAAAATTATGGGGTTTCTCTGTTTATTTTCAACCACCACTTGTATTTACTTTATCACAAACTTCAAATTTTTAAAGTGAGCTAGTTCTGGCCAGGTCTAATTTGCCTTTTGGATGTAAATCTCAGTTTTTTACTACACCTAATTCCATCAAAGAAGTTACAACACAATAATTATTTGCACTCTGGTTTTAGAGCTAAAGGATAACCTTGACATTCTGTGAACTTCAGGTCCTACATGAAAGCAGTTAAATCACTCAGAAAAATGTTAGGAGTACTCTGTCCATCACAAAAATGTTTAGAAATGGTGAAAATTACTTGAAAAAAAAAGCCAGCAGGCAATTTTAGCATAGTTTTATGGATTATAGGGCAATAATATAGATTACAACAAACAAACAGACAAAGTCTGAAAGAAAGGCACCAATATTACTTTGGAAAAGTTAAAGAAAAAAATCTATTAACTCCTCTAAAAGTATTGGCTCAGAGGAATTCTATGAGACATTCTCTCCTGAGCACTACAGAATAAACCTTTCCTTATTGAATTTTTCTGAATATCATATTGTATTATAGAATTTACCCTTGATAACTGTGATTTCAACCATTTAAAACACACAACTTGAACTTGTACAAAAGCAGAGGGTAACAAATATGCCAGAATAGAAATGCCACTTTCCTTTTTCTTTTTTACCCTGTTTTTCCCTAAGGAAAATGAGTTAGTAGGAATACTTAAAAACCTGTAAGCACTCTGTGAATCATCTCAGATTGTATCACATACAGTCACATCATTTCATAAATGAAAACATTTGCCAGACAGCAGATGTTTACTTTTACTCAAATCTAGAACTCCAATTAATAAGCATTAAAGAGAAGAAAACATCATGCCAATCTTAAATGGATCCTATTTGTTAAAGTAATCATGATTTAATTGCTATTGACACACCAGATTTATGTTTTTGAAATAACTTCTGTGATCCTAACCCATTAACCATTTAATTGGCCTGTACTTTGAAGAATAAAGTCCTGGAATTTAAATATTGAATTTACAAGGGAATGACATACTGAAGTGAAAATGTATTTTATTACCACACTTGTGTAAATTATGTCAAATCTACTGGTCAAAAAATTGATTCAAAGGCACTTTTACATATAAGCATAATTTGATATTTATGAGAAACTGTAGAAAAACTGCATTACACAGGTCTACAGATATGCAAATGCAGATTTTTTTTGGTTTATTTTTCATTTCTCTCACATCTACATTAGAAGGTTGTTTTGGGTTCTTTTAATGTTTTTTCTAAATATGTGCAAAGAACATCAATCCATTTTTGATCCAGAAGCCTCACAAACTCCATTTCATATTTGAGTCAATCAGCTCCAGGTTTAACCACAGAATTGTAAACCCTGCACATGCCCTGAGGCTCTGGCAGACGTAGGTCAATATGGCACTTATTTTATCAGGAGACAAAATATGTTTTACAAATATTTACATGACTTCTCAACAGCAATTACTGAGCTTTTCTCCAGTCACTTTTTGTCTGTCCTTATTCCAGTTATCCTGTCATAAACTAGAACCTGCCCACAGTGACAGGCCTTAATTGTATCTCAAAATGCAGTTAATGCTCCAACACCAGTTAAATCAAGACTAAAATTTTGGAAACACAATTAAAAAGCCATAAGAAATGCTGTCCCTCAGGAAGTGCTTCCATGAGAAGTATAATCATGAAGGACACACTATTTTATTAGAGAAGTGTTTTATATAATGGTCCTTTTCAGGCAATATATCTTCATACACTATTTCCTGTGCCATGCACTTACTGAGCTGGAAAATTTAACGGAGTAATTGCAGGTGTGGTTATGGTTCGTGGCCTGATTTTATACCCTCCCTACCTGACCTTAATGAATTGTAGCCTTTCCACAGCCACTTCCACTCCTCTAAGGACAGGCTCAAAAGGGAAAACCTGAAAGTGTAAATATTTTCTATGATAGCAAAATAGCGATCAATCCAGCCACACTGAAACTACCTAGCTGCATCATTTCCAGAGACAATTCCCTGAACTAACCAAACAGTGATTTTTTAAGTAAACCACCATTATACTACAGTGAAATAATGTGTTATTTGTTGGTTTTTTTGGTTTTTTATTATGCTGCCTACTAAAATTAATTTAAGCTAATAAGTAATGTAGAGTACCTGTCTCAGTTTTGTAAACCAATGTGTACAAGGATATGGTCATAACTCCAGAAATTGAGAATATAGAGAGAGGAAATCAGGAGAGCATCTTAAAATGTATTTGATATTAAAAATTTATACAGGACTTACACCCTCAACTTGTTTGAGGAAAAGGTGAGTCACATTCAGATTAACAGGACAGACATTCAGTAATGACAGGCATACAAATTCTTCTGAATGCTTTAGGGCAAGAATGCTGGGCAGAAATTACACATGTTACAGACTCCTGAAGGATTACAGACTGCTACAGGACTTTAAAAACCTCATCCTGAGCAAATGAAATCCTGTATTTATGTTGTAAAGACAAACATTACAGAAAAATCAGTTTGCTTCATACCCCTTGACAGGATCGACAACAATTCCTCTAGGGTGAGACATGTCTCCCTCCAACAGAGTTTTCCTACTCTGAGCAGCTTTTTCCAGTCTGGCAACAGCAATTGTTTTCCTGTGGCCATCATTGGTCCAATACAGATTATTTCCAATCCAGTCCACTGCTATACCTTCCACATTATCAAGATCTGTTGAGAGAAAGACAGCAGTAGTATGAGATTAATACTATTTATATGCTATATTTACCTATGTTCACTATTTATTACATGATATTCATGTCCTACTTTTAAAATTGCTTTTTTCCCTTATCTATTGGTGGTCCAAAACAAATTACAGATATTTGGTATCAACCAATGTATCAACTAAACTTTGGTCACTTAAACTAAACCTAAATTTTGTGAATCACTCACAGATGTAGAGATGACAACACATCCTGTGAGACAAAAAATAAGAAAGTTATAAAAAAAATAAAACAAACTGCATGTGATGAGGAGCTTTGCAAAATGTGTTTTGACATTTTTATCTGTATTTCTGGTATACCTGAACATCGCTGCACTTTTGGGAAACTATTTTTCCTTGTGGTTTTAGAAGCTTGAGGGAAACAAAGGTGTCAGAATCAGCACTCTGGGACATAAAACTACACAACAATGACATTTCTAACCCAGCAAGCAGCTGGTCTGACAAGAATCACCCAAAGCACAGAACAAGTGTGGGTCAGGCAGTGTCTGAGGGCAGCAGCTCAGCCAGGTTCCCCAGGCTGATGGACACTGCTGGCTTTATTTTTCATCTCTCAGTGCCTTTGCTACATTCTTTTGAAAAGACAATGTCAGAGACAGCTGAAAGTTCCTGAGAGAGGAGAGTGGCCTTTGGTCTTGGAGTGGTCAAGGAGGTTGAGAAAAGAGCTAAGAATGGAAGGGAAAAGAAGAGAGAATTTCACCAAGGACCTGGAGCCCAAGGCTCAGGGAAAAAAAAAATCTGCTGAACAGAACAGGCAACACAGACAAATTAGAGCTGTGAAAAACGTCCTACAGAGCTCTGAGGGGCTGTACATGAGTAAAACCAAGCTTGAGGACAAGGAGCAATTTGTTCCAAACTCATTTAGGTTTATCCTGTCTGACAGAGGCAATTTGAGCTAAACACAATTTTTATACTAATAAGATCAGATTATTCTAATAATAAGGTCGTCTTTTTAAGGAAAATATTTTGCTGGTTTTTTGTTTCTTTGGGAGTCAAACCAATCCAAATATGAACTGTGTTGGCATCAGCAGAAAACTCTTAGATTAGAATGCTGGATACCTCCTAAAATTTACAAGACTTTTGCTCCCTGTCTCTTCAGCTTCATACAATACAGTCTCTGAGCTACCTTGCCTTCTGCAGAAATTTTCGGGCAAATGTGATTCTAAACTAAACACAATCTAAGCAATAAAAACAAACCTCATGGTAACTAGATACTAAATATGTCAGACAGTTATTTTCTTTTCTTAAAGGAGAATTCTACAGCATGACCCTATAGAGATAACTTTCATTGGTTTTATGGAGTTAAAATTAAAAATTCACTTTTATTTTACTATCTAAAAGCTTTAAATACATTAATTACTTTTCAAATGGGTTTCACACCAGGTGCTAAACAGGAAGAAAACAATGGGCATTCTGCCACTCTTGTCCTGATCTGCTTACAGTAATTCAGTCCTTCTGCTCTAAAACCCTTCCAGCATAAAAGGGATGAGGTAATAAAATACCCTTGTGATCGTTCTTCACTTGCTAATTGAAAAATTAACATTTGTAATTCTGGACTTTCCATCGGTATTTGACTACCAACAGGAATATGAGAGCTCCAAATACATTGAATATGGACATGAGGTTTTTAAAACCAGCTCTAGAGGCAGCAGTTTGCCACGCTGGTTTTCAGTATGAAAAAAACAGGCACAAGATGTAATTTGGTGCAGAATGGCCAAGCTCATCAATGTCATGTGTAATAAATAGTGCCTAAAAAAGCTACATTAACATAAACCCTGCTGGGAAAATAATTATCTTATACACCAACCATCTAAACAGCTTCCAAAGAGCTTTACAGACTTTAGCCTTGTTTGAGCAACAGGTTGACCATGAAGACTAATATTTATAAGCAAATATTATAAGACTTTAAGTCTCACAGCAACCCCAAAAAGTCCCAAACATTAAGGGTAGTAAGACAAATAAAAATCCCCAAGCTTGTGTTCATGTTACATTGACTGAACAGTATTTAGAGTCATTTAAAAATGTCTGTGGTTTTTTTTCTTTCCAATTTTTATGTTAAAGACTGATCTTACATGCAGGTTTGAAAGGTTAATTATAATTTTTGTTCCTGGTGGAAGCAGAGTTCTACTGCAGCTGTGGCACCAGCTCTAAGCTAGGCTGTGCTGAGGGCTGTCAAATTGTTATCAACACTACCCAGCAGTTTGCTTCCCAAAGTGAAGAAACAGAAATCACAGCTGAAACTATATGGGAAATCAAACTCCAGCAGTGTGAGGTGCTCAGTGATCTCAATTCCCAGTCAACAGCTGTAGGATCAGGCTCTCGTGTAGGCAGATTGTAATTACCCGAGTTGCAATGCTGTCTGAACAAGCCTGACCTGACAGTCACCAAAAAAAAAGGCAACTTTTAATCTGAGAAGTGGCACCTACCACAGCTAGAAGCCCTTAGCAGCACGCTGTTCAGAGCAAATATTAAACCACCTCCTGACACACCTGATTTTCTGTAGTAGCCTTCCACCAAGGAACGATTTAATCTGTCCCTGCTGAGTTCGTGAGAGTTGACAAGAATAAAAGCTGAGGTGTTATGGCTGGAGGCCATATTAATTTTTTAAATCATGAAAAATACATTAACAAATGTTCTTTAAATATACTTTAAAGTTATGAAACCACACTAAGTTAGAAGTAACTTAGAATGTAAGCTCCTGGGGAAAAAGGAAGGGGAGAATGACAGTGACATATTTTTGGTCTTTGCAAATAATAGAATCGCCAACAATAAATCATCTGGTAATCCACAGCTCTTTCAGTACTGCATTAATATTTTTGCTATGTTGTACTTATAAAGAGTAGACACTGCACTAAAATATTATTTACAGGAATATGACCAATTTTCTGGTTTGATATACAGAAGTTTATTCAAGTTTGAGCAAACCAATCCCAACCTGTCTGACCCCAACCTGTTTGACACCTTCCAGCCTGGATGTTCCTTGCTGCTCCTTTATTAGATTTTCATTTTCATGTTTCCTGCTCCTTCCTCTACTCCACATTTGAACTACTTCGTTGTCAAAAGAAATGCACATTCAGTAAAGGCAAGTCAGCAATGGAAGATGTGAGATGTACATTATCCATTCCCATGCTGGCAGTGAAATGCAGAATTATCAGACTGACAGCTGAGTATTTGTTATTTTCTGAGACAAATGCCCTTTATTAACCATTCACCAGAGCAGGGTAAAGAGCCCGTCACTATTCCTTGCAACTGCTGCTGAAGGGAGCTTTGTGCAGACTCTGAGGAGAGACCTTACATTGAAAGAGCATCATATCACTGCACAGAGGAGATGGCTACTCAGAAGTGTGGATTAAAACCTGCATTATGAATGACAGGGATTGAACATCCCCCTACTAAAACAACAGCATTTTAGTTACTTTCACCGTCCTGAGCTTCCATTCACAAGTAAAGATATTAAGCTCTCTGCAGGCTAAGATGAATATTTACATTGCTTCTTAGGTTGAGGACCAGAAAATAATTACTGTAGATTGAATTTCAGCTCAGGCAGTTGTTACTTTCTGCTGAAGGAGTGTTTGAGAGAAGGGTCCATAAAAGAAAACGAAATATCGATTGGCAAACTGGAAGCTTTTTTCACTGCAACATTTGGTATGATGAGATATAATTCTAGAGCAGGGAGATTCAGTGTAGTGGGAGATGTGGGAACTAAAGACCTGCTGGAATTCTCTCTCATTGCTACAATAAATGTTACCAGCATCTTAATTAAGGTTCTAATAAATGTTTAGGTCTAATTGTTGCTTCCACATACACAATGGAAAATGCATCAGGAAAGACAATGCTTTTTTCCTAATGAGTTTTCAAGCACTACAAACAGTCTCATTCTGCCAAACTACTTGAATAGGCTCCAGAATCCACAGTGTGATGCAGGCTGGAGTGAAGAACTCTTATGAAGTCTGCAAGGATTTGGGATGGCTCAACAAATATCCAGCTACTGGAAGGACACAGTGGAGACACAGGAATTTCTCACCAGTGGGTATAAGCTTAAATGGACAAAGTAAGAATTCACAACAGTGACTTAACCAAACTTTACATTTCTGTCCTCAGGTAAAACCAAAAAAAAACAAACAAAAAACCAAAACTGGACACTGTAGATAAAGTATCTCCAATTCTGTTCAAGGTCAAATTTGCATCCATTTCCCATCAGAGATCCAAAATAACCTTTAAATTATCTGCAAATGTCATTTCAGCTTCAGGGTAGTGAGCACCTCTGAATGTCACCGTCACTGAGCATCACCTACCGTCTTTGAGGATTGTTTCTCGCTCTGTGCCATCAATTTTCTGTCTTCCAATTAGGAAACTGGTGGTATCAGCAAAGTAAATGTAATTGGTTTCAGCATGGAAGTCCAGAGCACGAGGATTGACCAGGTTCTCTATGGGGATCATGTACTCATCAGACACTTTGGTATTCAGGTCCATTCCCCGGATTATTCCTGGCCGTCCCTTCCCGTAAAAAAGAAACAATTCATTCTTTGGTCCTGCAAAAGAAAGATTACAAACATAAACAACTGATGCTGCCTAATCTTCTTCACACTGCATAATGTCCCTGTTTAATTAACTAGCATAATTAGTGGGGAGCAAGAGCCTTATTCAATACCAAAAATTAAACTATCTATTCTGAAGGTATAGAGATTAAAAAAAAAAATAAAAAAATCTATCTAATTACATCACCCTATTCAAAATACAAGTAACTTCAGTGAGCTGCTTACCTCTAATAATTTTTTTGTGTAAAAGTTCACACTGAAAAAGCAGTTGTAGATCACAGAATGACTGCATCTCCTGTGAAGTGGACATATATAGCTCCATATATAGCTCCGTAGGCAATTAATTTTACAATTCATTAGGATCTATCAAGGTAATATAGACCATGACTGAAGTAATCTTAAAATCTAACAATACCATGAACCCCAGCATATACAAAATACTGTATTTCCACCTTAAATTTCTCAGAATCAAACAACAAAACAAACAAAATTTCTTTCAGATTAAAAAGAATACAACAAAATCAGCATACTCTGTTCTTTCCAACTGAGGTAGAAAGCATGGATATCAATATTTCATATTTCTAAGATTTTACAGTTTAAATAATTCAGTTGATTACAAACAACTGAAAAAATAAGCAAACTTATTTTCTTTCCTTAAAGATACTTATAGATATCTTAGAGGCTTAATGCTATCAATATATCTCTTAAAATTCTCTATAGCCTTTTCCTGCTGCCTCTCAGGGTTTTTTGATGGAATTTTCACTGAAAACTGCGTCAAGTTTGGCTGAGGTCAAATAAATCCATCTACCAGCATCCATCAGAGTATCTAGCTGCATGTCTTTTATCTGACCTAAATCAACATCATTTGACTGAAAAAAACAGGAGAAAAACAGGCATTCCCAAAACTCCTGTTGCCTGTAGGTGACCAAAAGACTGTGTACATGTAACTTTAGGTATCACCACAGCTGCACAAATCACATTTGCTTTCACAAAGTATTCTGAGAAAAACCTTGACTTGTTTATGTGAATGTTCTGCTTTTGTGCTCTAGGTTGATTGTATGGCTGGAAATTGGAAGGAGCACATGAACAAAGCGTCAGGTAAACGTTACAAACTTTACCCCAAAGCATCCCATTGCTGGAGAACACCCAGAACTATCCCCTAGACTGTTCCTTTGTGCTTTCAATAACATACTTTTGCATGACCTGCCATCGCTCCCCAGGATGAAGCCAGTCCTGCAGCGACAGGTCCGTGCTTTGTAGCTGCTGCTGAGCAGGCAGAGGTGGGAGCATCCCCCCGGCATTCCGTAGGGATCCGCTTCGCACGCGTGGCTTCTGACTGCGGAGAGGAGAGAACAGCGCTCACACCCAGCCAAAGCAGGACAATCACAGGCATCAGCATGGAGCAAGGTTAGAGAAAAAATATAAAGAAGGGGGATTTGAGTCACAATAAATCTACCCAGAATGTGGCTGCTAAGGAAGGTGTTTTTTAAAGATGATATCCAAGCCAGGCCAGCAATGCCCAGGGCTACCAAGCCGTGCCCATGGCTGTGTGCAGTCACTCCTTTGTGAATAAGCTCCTGCTCAGCATGTGCTGGGCAGCAGGGCCCTGGGGGAGCTGACACTTCTCCCCTTTTCCATTTGTTGCTTTGGTTCATTTGTGGTTGGGGTTTTCTGAGAACAGAGAGCATTCCATGCCCACACAGCCTGGTATTCCTTCAGTTCCTTTAGACAGCAGCCTTCTGGGCAGATATGCATGCTGAAACTAAAGAATAGAACGAGCTTTGCAGAATTTTTCCATGTTTATAGAATCACACAACGGTTTGGGTTGGAAAAGACTGTAGAGCTCATCTCATTCCAAGCCCCTGCCATTGGCAGGGACTCCTTCCACCAGACCAGGATGTTCCAAGCCCCCTCCAACCTGGCCTTGAACACTTCCAGGGATGGGGTGCAGATTTGGACAGTTGGGATAGAAATTCAGCTGAAGAAGCCAAATAATTCCTTTCCCTAGATTTCATATTTCCAAATGCATGGTTCTATATTAGCAGCCCAATTTATTTATTTTTCTTTTACTGTTTAATGCAATATGTAGAGAAAACAAAATCTACCAGCCTATCTTAAAATCTACTAAAATGGCTTAAAACAGAAAAGAGTATTCTAGCTCAAAAAATCTTCTGTTCTTCCTACTTTACCTCAAGCTTTTCAGGTTTTATTTTTAAAAAGAAAGCAATCAAGTGGTTTAGGGTCGATAAGGTTAAAGGTAATACAGAAACTCCACCAAGCTGAGACAGCTTTTACAGAGAATCTTGACAAGCAACAAACATGTCCATTCAAAACAAAAGGAGTAGTGGAGTAATCAAAGGATGTAATAAAAGATTACATTGTGCTCATGTCTCTCCTCTACTCAACCTCTCTGACTCCCTCAGGAGTACAAGAGGGATGATAATAGCAAAGAAAGAGTCTTTGCAGCCTCCTTCAGACATTGACATCTGCAAATCAATGCCCTCAGCTCCAGGGTGAAAATTAGTTCACCCACTCTACATCAATTTAGAGTTTGTTCCCACTTCAGAAACTTCTCCAGAAGCAGCCATTCTGTTTAGAAACATCGACATTGAGAATTGATGTGTTGGCTTTTCTGTCTAAGCAGTCATGGCCAGAATTTATTGTGATCAGTCACGCCAAATAAAAATTCTCAGAAAGCGTCACTGTGGAAATTTTGGATCTTGCTATCTTTGCACCAAGTTCCTGTAAGTCCCACTGATGTTCTGCATGCTGAAAGTGTTTGAACAGATTACAGTCATACAGGACTATAGGCACCAGAAATTGCAGTTTTACCAAAAAATTCTGATGTAAGAAGAGTTTTTCATTCTAGGTGAAAATGAAGATCTCTTTCACAGATGACAAAGCTGACATTCACACACATCAAGGAATCCCTGTCAGCGTTTCCCTCTCAGTGCTGTGCTGGCAGCTCAGCAGCTTGGCTGCCCACACCTCTGTGCCTTTTTTGGCAGCCCCAAAGACAGGAGCTCACCTGAGGCGTGGAGTCTGTCTGAAAAGCAGGCCCAGAGATTCCAGGAATCTCTGAGGTCTGAGACACGTGGACAGCACTGGACATCCAACAATTCCGAAGGTGTTAAATTCTCAGAGTGCCACAACGTGCAGAGCAGGACTCTTGGGCAGTTCTCCAAACTGAATTCTCACAAAAGGGATGAGCTGGGAGCATAGAGCCACAGGAAAAGGGGCAACAACCACACAGAAAACTGGGCAGCTCAAGGAGCACAGTGCTGTGCCACAAGGAACAAAAATCACTCCATCTTCAAATACTTTTTTCTGGTAGGACCTTTTAAACCACACAACCATTTAGTATCAGTGTGCTTTCCAGAGAGAGGAAATTCAATCTTACCTGCTGCTTGAGTTCTCTTCTGGTACACACGGATCTCTTTAGCATTGTCCAGCCTAGCAAGAGCCTGAACATCAGTCCCGTTGTATCTGTTTATTCGTAAAATGCTGAAGTTGTCTGAATTAATTGTATATAAATAGTTCTCAAATACTGCCAAACCACAAAGATGCCTAATCTGGAAAAGAAACAAATGATATTATTTTAGTTCAATATTTTAGGCATATCTATGAGTTGTAAACATCAAAAAACACCGTGAATTGTTTGTGATAAACTGTACAAAAGGTTTTCTGAATATTTGTAAATAAACACAAATAACACTAAAAATATAGTTCATATTCTTGTAGTTTTAAATGTGTAATTAGAAAATTTTTGTACAGGAAAGATAGAAAATTCAAATTATTTAGCAATCTAAATTAAATTACTCTATAAATTACCCAGTTTCTCTGATTTTTAAATTAAAATCTACATCCTTGAAGTGCAACAGCTACATTAGTATTAACTAATGACCATAAACTATGATTATTACTAATAAATAAATAAAATTAAGATAACTATTAATGATCATGAAGATAAATTAACAATTATTAACTAATAAATATAGCAAACTTAGAAATTTAAAACACAGTTCATAGGTGTAACTGATCCTCTTTTTAAAATTATTTTATGATCAAATCAGGGTAAATGGTGCAAGAAATTCCTTCTGAATATTTTCTTGAGTACATGAGAAATAGACACGTTCTGTCAGCTTTGCTGAGTTTCTTTTGTGTTGGTGTCTTTGAATGTGGTGGTGGTCACTTTTTAGTGCTTCCTTATGAAAAAGTGAATTCTCAAATTGTTTTAATCTCTGATGTGTCTGGACACATTGATCAAAAATTAACTAATAGCTGGTAGTTAGACAATCACAGCTCAAACACAAAGTGTTCAATAATTTAGAGGCTGTGCTCGATTTATAGATTTAGAAAATGTAAAATATCTCACAGGCAATTCTGAAAACTGAACAAATTAAAGAGAATTTTTTGGCAGATGTTCAAATATTCACAGGCTGAACATCTTCTTACTTTAATCATTCAATTGCTCACCACAAAGTATTTACTTATCTCATTCACTCACTAATTCAGACATACGTCACCAAAAACCAACCCAAACAAAAAAAACCAAAATCTTTGTGCATGAAGCATTTCAATCATTCTGGAAATTTTACCACAGTTGGCCAAGTCTTGCCATTGTATTCTGTCTCCATCCAGAAAAAGGAATAATAATTGACATCATTGTAAGTGTTTGATTAAGAACAAATAGAAATTCAATTATAGTAAGATGAAAAAGAAAATAGCCTTGAAAATAAAGACACATCTGTAGCAAACTGTGGAACTGTCCCCTGAATTACAATCTTTTCTTCTCTGTTTCCATTTGCACTCAGTTAAAATCTTTATCATTTAAGTTTCATGGTAGATTTTCTTTATTAAAACTATTTAAGCTACGTGGCTCTTTTTGCAATATGTTTTATAATGGTATAAATATTTGGATTTATTTTTTAATCTGTTGGGTTTTTTACCTCTCAAGAATCTTTCCCGCAATCGTGTGCACGAGTGAAAACATTACTGGCTTGTCCTTTGAAAGCCACACAGGCTGTCAATCACAGAATCCAGTTTTGTTTGGAAAGCACATCTTTGATAAGTTTGTACTTACACAATAAACTTAAAAATTCTTGGGAAAGTTTTGTGGTCTGCTGTTTCCTTGAACCAATGAGGGGTAATTTGGAGAAGCAGTCATTCTAGATCATGGCATACACAGCACAAAACCTACTGAAATTACCAATTCTTCATTTGAGTGGAAAGACAATTAGTACCATTTTTGAAAACAGTGAGAGGCTAAAATTTTTAATGCTCTTCATCCATATCAAAAACCAGAGATCTCATTTTTTAGCTAGTTTTGAGAAGAATCCCTCTGAAATTGATAAAGTATCCTCTTTTGCATCTAAATTTCAGCAAGAAGAGAAAAAACAAGCATCTTTCCTATGACTCCAGTACAACAGTTACAAGCCTGTAAACGTATTTGTTAATGGCTTCTGAAAATGATTTTAGCTTTTTAAATATTAATTCAAAAAATGTTACTTAAAAAACCAAAAACCCAAAAGTTTGCAAGACCTCTTGTTCCAGAATTCATTAAGGACTGGGGATAGGTTGGCAAAAATAGGAAAGTGTTTTTTAAAGCATCACTTAGACTGCTTTTTACCACATGTTCTGCCTATTTTTAGTTAAGTCTAAGCAGTTGCATCTTGGTACTGATTACTTGGAAGAAACTAATGACAGAATAACAGGTAAATCTTTATTCTGCTTGCACATTTTCACATTCCCTGTTTAAACTCAGGCAGAAATAGATGCAAACTTGGTGCCCACACCAGCCCTGGCAGTGCAAGTAGCGACCAGAACAGTTTGGTCTTTGCTGATTTTCCCTGGATATTCATAAGACTCACAACTGCCAGAGAACTCTTCCACTCTCCAGGCTAAAGGACTGAAATGCTCCTGCTCAAAGACTCACAGTCTCAGAGTTTGTATTTATGACTCTGGACATTGGGATCAGCTGCAAAAAGCATCATTGCCGTCAACAAAAAAAAGATTTAAGGGTACCCAGATTAGTCTGAATGGGTGAACAGCTTTTGCTATTCTATTTCACATTATTTTGTGTGTTAGTCTCTCCTTCCTGAGTGGGTAAGGACATCTTGTCATTAATGATTTATCTCCCTTAGTCAGATCTTTTAAATTCTAACTGAACTAAAAAGCTAAAAAGTTATGAAATTCCTGTAGCTGCTAGCACTATGTGCGTTCATTGATTGATAACATTACTTTTCACTGATTTGCAAATAAATACCCACTTGTCTGCCTTTCGTTATTGTTTGCCTCCTTCTCCCCTGATAGTCAACAACTTCCACACTCTCCAGATATATGTCAAGCCAGTACACATATTTATTGATGAGGTCTAGTGCCAGAGCAGTTGGCTGTTCAATTTTTGAGTCCACTATCCACGTCCTGTTCATTCCATCCATGTCACATCTCTCCACCTTGGCAGCATTCCCGTAGTCTGTGAAGAAAAGCTTTCTGTTGAAAGAAAATAAGATGTTGTAAGTTTTAAAGGGTGTGAGCAGAGTGCAAAGCTCCTGCTGGATCCGGGAAAAGGAAGTTTTTGTTCTTTGTAATTTCAATTTCCTATATACCCCATATTGATAAACACGTAATTATTTTTAAAAGTTC